TTCAGTGACATTAAGATTTGCCCATCTTAGGCAGTATAATGGGGTAAGATCAGTCTAAATTGTAAGAATTCAGCACTAAGAGTTACATTAAAAAGGTGAAGCAGATGCAGATCTGTAAGAACTGAGAAACATAACCGTAAAGAAGGTATTTCAACAGATGCTACATCTGGATGGACTAGATGTAGCATTTATACAGGAATCAGCAAAATAAGCAAAAGAGGAAAAACAGACAAGTTAGCTTGGAGGCAGAGGAGTTCATGCTCTACAATTCTCGAGCTTGTCTTTTTTAAAAAAAAAAAAGCAGACATGCTACAGAAAGCAAAAAGTGAGACAAAGAAGGCTTGATGTTGGAAACTACAGATCAACCAAAATGGTTCTCATGTCAGAATATATTTAACTTTTGTAAAAAGGTGAAACTGATTTGTAGGACATCCTCGAGGTTAGCAGCATACAAAAGGCTGGGGCTCAGATGAAGGCGGGGACTCATGCCTAAATGAGGAAGCAGGTGGTCAAGTGTTGGCCCTGGCATGGGGAAAGGAATGACATTTCGTGTTGCTGTGAAGGCAGCAAAATGTCTTGGTCTGGCATTGGCCATTCCTCTGAAATGTATTTTGTAAACATGAAGAATTCCTTTAATGCATAGAAACAATGAAGACTTTGTGGCTCCTGAAAGATTAACAGCCCTTTAGTACTGCCTAAGCATTCATGAACTACAGTCCACTGAATCAGTTCCATGAAATGTTCTTCTCAACTGGCAGTGGTGTGGGGGGAGAGGAAAGAGTATAAAGCATTAAACATAAAAAGTGAAGTCATAAGGCAATGCAACACAAAAAGCGCAGCTTGTAACAATTCAATTAAAGATAGAACTATACAAAATAAACAACAGCTACCTGTATGCATTCACCACAGTAGTCATGGATAACTGCACCCTAACATTGCTAAGTTAATTAACAGTTCTAGTGAGATAGTCTCTTGTTATGCCCAATGGACAGAATCAAACTTTTATGCAATTGCAACCAACTGCAAGCACAACTACTTCTATACGGCACCCTTGATCCTTTTGGCTTATAAAAAAACTGGCAGGGTGAGCCAAGGAGATGATCGATGCTCCCTTGACAGACAGAGGGAACAGGGTCACCTGTAGGAGATGGTGAATAGCTCAATCCTAGGAAATCCTCCTTGAGCTCTGAAGTTCATAATAAATTTAGGCTGGTAATATCAAAATGATAAGGAATGGTAAGATGCTTCAAAGCCCAACCCTAACCCTACACCATTCTTCCATATGTTTGTGCACATTTTTTTTTTTTTGTACCTAAAGAAAAATATGGCACCCAGAGCTGGGATCGCAAGTATAGCAAGAGTGGCGGCTAGCCATGGCCATTATGCAAGCAGAAAGGCACCAATGCCTCACTGATGGCCAATGCCCCACTGGGTCCTTACTGCAAGAGGTCACTGCTGCTTGCAGAACAGCAAATTAATACTTCCGAGACAACTCAAAATCAGTGTAAATGCTTGTTTCTGGGAGGAGGCAGGATGGCAGAGCTCACATGAGGAAGCTCTGCTGATCTACCTCTTTAAGAAAGAGGCATTTCCTCATGTTTCAAGGCTTTCTCTAGGACCACTAAATTTTCCTTGTCTCAGTGGAAGATCATGTTTGCGCAACAATGGGATCACCATTTTCAGAGGGCAATCAGTGGGAGCAGAAGTGCCCCATGGGATTAGCAATATGAATGGACCATGGCGTGTGGAAGCGTGTGGCAGTGGATTAGATATTGATAATTAGGAGTAGAGCCTAAATCTTCTAATATTCTAAACTGGAGGTGCCACGGTAATGATAAGCTGTGCGAGTAGAATTGATCACACATCAGATCAGTAGCCCAGCTCTGTACATATTCCATATATAGTAAATTTTGCTGTAGTAAAATTCTGCCAGCAAGAATAGAGTTAATAGTACAATTCCCCTTTGTTCAGCTGAATCAATAAACTACATAACAAGATAGAAAATGTTCTGACCTCAGAAGAAATGCCTGTGCCCACAGGGGACATAGGCTGGAGAAAGAAACATTCTTTACAATAAAATTTCGTTTGAACTCATAGATCAGGTCTCTAATCACAAATGTGAATCTACAAGGATTTACTTTAGTCTGTTAAGTGCTAGCTCAGACCTGCCATCAACTATTGGCATATCTTCCAGAATGGCAGTAATTGCTTGCTATCTTCTTAGTTTCAGAAAATAACATAGCTTTGCATGACATTATATTGTAAGGCCAGAAGAATGCTGGAGAGCACCACATTTCACACAGGTCTGATGATCTCCTTGCACAGAGCCAGAAGCTACCTTAAACAAACAATATCCCTAAAATATCAAAGGTTATTTGTGTCATAATTCACATTTAAGAGCACAGACGTGCACCACAGGTGAATATAGGACATGAAGTCTGTTCAAGTAATTCAGCTATAAAATTGGAAGCTTGGAGAACCATTAGCATGTGCTGAGGTTGTCTTAAACTACCAATGTGAATGTATCTTAATTCATTCTCTTTATCCCATTTGTAAAGTTGTAAACTTCTGTTATGCTGTCCTTCCAGCTGTTCTCAAAACATGGATCTCTACCCTCCATGGAAGAGTTCTTTCCTTGTGTGTGTACATCCGTACGGAAGCAAACATAGTACATGAGTCAGGAAATCACAGAAACATAAGAAAGTAATATCTGGGATTGCGGCACCATTTTAACCAGAGACCTCAATCACAGCAGTTGTTGTCTGCCATCAAGTATGTGGTAGATTGCACACACACATTTGTCCATACAAATTCCTACTAAAGTATGATTGGGGTTGCTCTACTGAGGACAACAAATTTGTGTGAACTGGCTCTTTCTAGTCTAAAAGATACTAAATGTGACTGCATCCTAGAAGGTATTTCCATTGGTTGTGTGGTCTGTACTTGTTTTGGCAGTCTGATTGCATGTTTGAGATCAGAACTGTACATAATAGTTGAAGGTTAAAGACACCAAAATGGCTTCTTATTTTATCAGTTACAACTCAATGAAAGTGTGAAAAGGGAAAACTAGAATGAGGGACTGGAGCAACTCCCCCATGAGGAATAGCTACAGCTGGGATTGCTTCATTTAGAACAAGGTGAGTAAGGCGAGACCTGATAGTGGTGTTTAAAGCTATGCATGGTATGGAAACATTTTTCCTCCTCTTACATAATACTAGAACCTGCGATAATCCTATGCAGCTGATTTCTGGAAGAGTCAGGGAAGATAAAGGGAATGCTTTTTCACACAGCATATAGTTAAACTGTGGAACTTGTTGCCACAGGAAGTGGTGATGGCCAGCAACGACTTTAAAATGGAGTTGGACAAAATTCATGGAGGCAGTGGCTATCGGTTAGACTTGTTGGCTACATGCTAGTCCATTACCAGAGCCAGCATGCCTGCGTACATCAGTTGCTGAGGAGCTTGGGCAGGTGGAGGTCTTGTATTGATCCTGCTTGAGGCTCCTGTGAACTGCTGGCTTGCCACTGTCGCAATAGAGTGTTGGACTGGGTGGATACAGGCCTGATCCACCATGGCTTTTCTTATAACTTTATGAAAAGCAGAAATTTTAATGAGGCTACTTCTACTCAGAGAAGAATCAGCTGCCAGCCAACAAGAAAAGTCCTAAGCACAATAATCATAGATGAACTGTACTCTCAGAAGCATATGTTCCTGCAATACAATACAAAAGCAAATGTTAACTAGGAGGACAAGCTCTTATTTGATTTCTTCTTGTTCCCGTTTAGGAACACATTCACTCTTCTTCTAGAATGGATTAATACACAGAAAGTATCAGAGCTTGCAATAAAGGTTCTCCTAACACTGCTGTAAAAGGGTGACCATTTGATCCTTTTTCTTCTCTGCATGCATTCCATAACTTGAAAACAAATCCTCAGTGTTGTTCAAAACATATGAAGCATGATCCCAGTGGTTCTTAGGGAAGTTTTGTGGGACCCTTCTTTAAAGACCACCCTTTGAATCAAATTATTTTAATAACTATCACCTTTGTCAAAACTGCCATTCTTAAGCAAGGTAAGAAGTAGGCAATAGCAAGCCAATTCCAGACATATGTAAATGAGCTGACAGACAAAACTGTTTTAAACTAGGTTCAGGGACAGTTGCAGACAGATCTTTTTTGGCTTCAGTCCATGTAGGATGTGTATTAAGGACAGGTAATACAGTGTAGTGCTTAAAGGGCTGAAGTGAAACTTAGGAGAACTGGGTTTTAGTTACTGCTTGACCATGAAGCTGCCTGGGTAACTTTTGGGCCAGTTACTTACTTTCAGTTCAAATTATCTCACAGATGTTGTGAGAATAAAATGGAAAGGACAAGGGCTATCTATATCACCTTGGGTTCCTTGCAAAAGAAAATAAAGGCAGGATATAAAGATAATCATAAAGGATGTGCAACATACAGTGTTAAAGAAAATGTTGATCTTGAGTAGTTGCATGTGATCAGAAACCTAATAAATTCCAAGGCCACTAGGTCTGTGTTTATCCATTACAGGTTTCTGTGTGTTTATACATAAGGTTAAAAAACAAAGAAGAACAAGCAACTTCTAACAAACGCCTCATAATATAAAGAACAACTAAATCATGTAAAGATTCAAAACATGTAGTTCTATGGAAGTGTCTCTTCAGAAACCCAAGTTAACCATTTAAAGTACAAAAGTGTTTTAAAGCATATTGTCACTTTTTACACACTACTCTAAATTAAATTACTACTTTAAACATGATGTACAATATGTTTCCATGTTTTTATACCATTACTGATTCTTAGCAATGAGTATGTGTATGTCTTTGAACACATACTTTGCCCACATTTCCGTACTGAAACATTAAAAAAGAATATTAAAGTAGAGAAACATAATTTGCCAAATAAGAACATAAGCATAGATTTGAAGCTAAATTTATTCTAGGTCATACACTGTTCAAAATAGAATAATAAATAACATCCTACCTATGGTAGTAATAACAGTGCCAGCAAAGAAGAAGGAACTTCCCAAATCCCAATGACTGACTTGAGTAGGCGCATTTCCTTTTGGATTGACTCCTGCATTTATTGCTGCCACTACTTGCTGCAAGTTTAAAGAGATATTTGTCAATACTTGTGAAATATAAACAATCTTGTTAGAAACTCTGCATGTTCACAAAGCAAAAGTAACTTATCCAATGTCAGCCAAGTTCAAGTAAAATAAAATAAGGAAACACAAATAAGCACTTGAGCTATGCCTTAAGTGTAATTAATGCAAAAGATTGGTCATTCCTGCAACTTTTGGTTAGCCTTTCCATTGGTTAGAAGTTCATCAGTTACACAATTAAGTCATCAGGGGTTTAGTATAGAGGCCACTGCTGCCATGGGGTAGACAATCTCTTTATCTTTAGGTCACTTTACAAAATTTAAAAACAATTTAAACCAATTTATAATAAAAAGATGCTTTAGCTGCTTTCCTGTGTCTTCGCTTCATCTCTGAGAAGCCTCACCTGAACACTCACTGCCAATTGTGGCAGCTATTTCAAAGGAAAAGCTGAGAAGCTGTCAGCATAGTATTTTGCTTCCTTTCCCTTGTTTTAGTCATCATATCTTAAGGGATAAAATGAGAGAGCTTGTGTACAGGCTAGAGTGTTGGACTGGCACCTGGGAGATCTGGCCCCTAGTCCTTCTTTGGCCATGAAGCCCCTGGGTGACTTTGGACCGGTAATGGAGTGTCAGTCTATCATATCTCCCCTGGCTGCTCATGAGATTAAAATGTAGAAGAGAAGAAGCTATCTTGGGTTCATTGTAAGAGGAAAAAAGGTGGGTTATAAATGTAATGCAATAATGGGAAAATTATAACAATTTGTGGCTGTGGTTATTCTTGTTAAGGTACATATTGCTTTTTAGAAAACTCAGAAGTGCACTGTACACGAGTCATAGCCAAGAGCAATGGGTTGTATCCAGTGGTGTCCCTTTGCTGAGGAGGAAGGCTCAGCAGATGGCAAGAAGGGAGAAGGTTCTTCTGGTAGCAGCCCAATTATGGAATGCTCTCTCCAGGGAAGTCCACCAGGTGACAATGCAATTGTAGGGAGTTGGTCAGGCACTCGCTGGGAGGTATATCATCAGATTCTGAAGTGGAGGAGCAAGGGGAGGCAGAAACCTTTGAAGCCCCTTCCAGGTTGCTTCCTGAATATCCCCCAGCCAACCATGTGAGGCCTGTTTTGGAAGTGATTTGAGTGTCTTCAGGAAAGAAAGGGGAATAGGTGTGGGTCACTATCCTTGATCCAGGAAGGACATGTCAGGAGACATGGGCTGCTCAACTGGAAGGCCCCTGTCACTCACACTACCTGGCTTTCTACCAGCAAGAACCACCCTGAGGACGGACCAGCAGCATTACTGAAAGAGAGGGAGTGATTCCAGTTTCCAGTTTGGGTTTGAGTCACATGAGAAAAGCCTTATCCTTTTAGTTGGATAGAAGGCTATTTGGAGTGGAACTGCCTTGTAACCTGTGAAGTTTTAATAACAATTTGTATTGTAAAGCATTATCTTTAATGTTGGAGTCTGAGAGAAAGGGGGGAAGGGAAGCTCACAGCACCTGCCATCTTTTTGTTGCAATGTCATGACCTTTCCCTACTTTCAGGCATTTGAGAACATATTTCAAATTTCAGGTTTCAACTGTTTTTATATTTTGTATGCTAAATATTTATCATACTTTTTATTCAATTGCATTTGTAAACAGTACTTTTTGTGGACTGCTCAGAGAGCACCCACTACTTGGGCAATAAATAAGCAAAGTGAAACTTAGGAACACATGAAGTTTTATTTATTATTTAAAATATTTATACCCTGCCCTATATGCAAAGGGTCTCAGGGCAGCTTACAAAAATAAAAGCAAACAATCCAACAGTTAACAATATTAAAAGTATGCATAAAACCAACAATAACATTTCACAAACGAGAATAAAATCAAAACAGAATCAAAATCAAAAACAGGAGCAAAATCAAAATGAAAATTTGACTGTGAACAGTTAAAATCATATTAAAATTCCTAACATTTAAAATGGTGGGCAAATAAAAAGGTTTTCACCGGGTGCCAAAAAGAGTATAAAGTCGGCACCAGGCAAACCTCTCCTGGGAGCGCATTCCACCGTCTGGGCGCCACAAGTTGCCTTGTAACAAGTCATACTCTTGGGCCATACAGCTCAACATTGTCAACACAGACTAGATCTCAAGGGCTTGGGGAAGGAGTTTTTCCAGCAATTCCTGGAAACGTCAGGGATTTAATCTGGAACTTTCTGCATGCCAGGTATGTGCTACAGCACTCTGGCCCAATTAAATGGGTCAATGGAATGGCTTGGCTGGCAATTTTAGGTGATGCCTCCTCCTCTCTGATCCCTTTCAGATTTTCTCAGGAGGGATGGATAGTCCCAGAACAGCATGGGAGGTGCACGGGACCGTATGGGGGTAGAGAGACTTTGTACCCCCTGCAATGGAATCTGATCCACCAGAAGCTTCCAACAGCCAGAACACCACTGAATACAACCAAATATTTATATCTAACTACATGTTAGTGTTTTATTTGACTAGCTATGCTATGTTGTTTCCATTTTTTTTGTGAGCAGCCCAGAGAACCCCTGGGCTATGGGACAGCATACAAATACAATCAATAAATAAAATGTGGAAGATTCATTATCTAAAAACCAGAGCCAGGACCAAAGTGACACACCGGCAGTCCCAGCTGAAACTAAGCACATAACCAAGCCTTAAGTCTAATGGGGCAGGACAGATAAATAAACAAATGGTCCATGGGCTAGGTGACCAGACCACACAGACCTAATCGTAGGCTTGAATGTTGGATCCTGCCATCATGGGTCCAACACAGGCAGGTGATTGTCCAGTGTATGAACAAAAGCTGGGCTAGATGGACCTGCACCTCTTCCAGCATGGCTCTTTCTATGACTTAAAGATGAAATAGTCTGCTCTGTATAGAGCTGCAGTTCGAAGTTTCTGTGAACAGCGCACTAATTGGCTGGGAAATTGCCCTCCATGGAGCATATTAATATTTGGAATCACAGCACTGAAAAACATATCATAAGGTTTAGCTATAAAAGCCCTGGCCCAATTATGAACACATGGATAAAAATCTTGACAGCGTGGGTTCCAATGGTGAAAATGCCAATAAAACTGGTAAGGTCCCATGCACTCTATGCTGCTCATGTACTGGCCTCATGAATACTTATGAATAAAGCAATACATGAATGCAATCTAACTTGCAGAAAATTCAAGTACCCTCCACCCGCAAAAATAAAATAAAATCTATAGGATTTGTGTATGCGGATGCCCCTAGCCCTGATCTCAAGCTGCATGTTTCCTGAGAAAGGAACAGCAGTAAAATCAATAGATGTTGTTGCTTAAGATGTCTGGTAAAATAAAAAATACATGCTACCCTAAGTGTCCAAATGAAACATGATGCAGCTGAAAATGCAATAAAGAAACAGCTTTAATTGCATTGGTATTATGCACACTGATGCCTAAACATTCTGTATTCTGTATCACTTACTTAGATTTAATCACTGTGGAATCATTCTGTCCTCCTCTAAAGACGACTAAAGGTGCAATACAAGTAATAGTTAAAGGGAATTTCTTAACTTTGTCTTTTATGACAACTAACTAATAGTGCAAACCTATAAACATTTACTCACAGAGTTTAATAGGTCTTATTTTTGGGTAGGCCTAGGATGAACTTGGAAGCTTAATGTGCATCCATTACATGGTCTGGTGGCAGACATTTCCACCACCGATACCCCTTACATCTAGAGAATTATTTTTGGCTGTGTAGATGATGCACCATGGCAAGGAAAAGAAACAGGCTGGGATGCCATGTAGAAGCGACATAAACCCTTGACAACAGTCTCCTCCCCTCCTTGCCTTACTCCAGTTATACCCCTTTCTCTCTCAGGCCAATTTGCCACCTTGGAGAGGCTGCTGGCATGGTGATTTCCAACCTGAAAGGGAGACAGGGCAGGGGCTTCAGAGTCCAAGCCCTCAAGTTACAGGAGCTAGGGCTCCAAATAATCCTGTGACACACAGGCTTCCCCTAACAATGCCAGCAGGCAATAGATGGAACTCTGTGTTTCTCAAGAACAGTGTCTTCCATTGCCTCAGCATCATCCGATTTACCAGCCTTCACACAAAAAGGTGTTGGTGCCTTGGTGCCAACACAATCCTGCAGTCTCAAAGATCCTGAATGTATTGCAGGGGAGCTGTATTTGCACACTCTATTAACACTCTTTTACAAACTGATACCAACTTTGACATTAAGTTTTATAGATTAGCTGCACAGTCCTAATATTTGTCACTTCCGCTGTAGCAACACCAACTTAATATATTATTTCATTTATATCCTGCCGTTTTTACTCTTGCAAAGAACCCAAAGCAGCTTACATGGTCCTCCTCCTCTCCATTTTTATATTCACAACGCCCTTTGGAGTAGGTTAGACCGAGACAGTGACTGGCCCAAAGTCATCCAGTGAGCTTCATAGCTGAGTGAGGACCAGAACCTGAGTCCCAGGCCACAACTCTAACCACTATACCTCATTGGCTCTCAATGAATTGCATTCTGGGACAAAGTCACCATAACATCTGACTGATGCACAATTGGCCTAGTTCACATAATTCCCATAGATGCTGGTGCTGTCCCGTAACCGTGGCTAAGCTCATGAGCTAGTTGATAGGATGGACCAGCTTGATTTTTGTTTCAGAAACCATGATTTATTATTTCAGTTGAGCAAATGTTATTGAGCTACTAACATATCTAAGTTATATGACACTGAATAATAAAGGTGGCATTTCCAATAACATGAAACTATGGCATTCAAAAATAGTTCTGGCTAGTAGGTAGAAAGATCTATACAGGTATATTTATACCTTTTCTCTCTAATAACGGTCCCCAAGGCAGCTTACACCAGTACATTTTTGCTAGAATGAACTAGGTATATTAAGTTTACTTTTATTTAGCTAAATAACTGGATCTTGGACTTTCTCCGAATTGCAGAATATATACCTTTATAGTATGTTGGGAGCAAACATTATCAAAAGCCC